TTCCTTCCTTCCTTCCTTCCTTCCGCCACTTCCTTCCTTCCTTCCTTCCTTCCTTCCTTCCTTCCTACTACTTAGTTGGAATTTACTTACTAAATAGCACAACTCTTTTAAATCGTCCAAATTTGTAATCTGACATTTTTTATTTTTAAATTCATAATAAAAATATTACATGATAACATGCTTTGATTATTTCAGGTTTGCGTGTCTCAAAATCTAAAATTATATTTAAGAAAGGAACTGAACTAGGAGAATGTAATTCTAATCTTAGAATTGTAGAGTATTTGAGCTGGCAGGGACCTTTCATAGGACATCTAGTCCAACCCCTCTGCAATGAGTAGTAGGGGCATCTATGACTAGATTGGGTTATTCAGAGCTGTGTTCAACTTGGCCTTGAATTCCAGGAATGGGGCATCTCTGACTTCTATGGGCAACCTTTTTGGGTGTTTCACCATAAAATCATTTGCATTGGAAAACACTTCAAAGATCATGGAGTCCTATGTTTGTCTGAACACCACCATGACAACTAAACCATAGTAATCAAAACATTCCCTCTTTCAGTTTGAAGCCATTTCCCCTTTTCCTGTTGTTACATGCCCTTGTTAAAAGTTCCTCTCCAGCTCTTCTATAGGCTCCTTCAGGCTGCTATAAAATATATATATGTACTCTAATGTACACATTACTCTTAAGTAGTCCCCGCTGCTACTCAGATGTTCCTGAGTGAGTGCACCCATGTGCTGGAGATCTGCGAGAAGTACAGAATATGGAGGTGGTAGTGAGCTTCTCTGAAAAAAACTGGATATCTCAGGGAGCCACCACTTCAGCAATGTTTTTGCCTTGGTCCCATGCTAGTTACTAGTGGGCTGAATTTGTGGCATGGCCTCCCACTTGTTGGGATTTTATTTTGCTCTGTACTGTCTGGTCAGTGGGCTTGTCATTGCAGGTGTATTCCCTGTTCCTGTTATCCTGCACTGTGTTCACCACTCTGACAGCTTCTTCCAGCAGTACCTCCCGTGTCATTTCAGTTTTCTGCTCCTTCAGAATACCCATCTTCTCTTGAATATGCTTCCTGTCTCTTCTAAAAAAATGCATCTTCCACTTTAAGGAATGTTTGTCTTACAGAAGGCCACTTCAAGTGAAATGCAGTAGAGAACAGTTTGATGTGTAACAAAGTGTCAGCTGCTTGCAAAGGGGGAGGTGTGCTGTAAAAGTAAAATTGAAAGACAACTGTTCCTGTTGTTTCTGACATCTGTAAATGCTGGGAGTGTTTCAGCTTACTGGAAATTCTTGGAACACTTTAATTTTAGAATTGTCAAATTAGTTTGCTGTTCATCTAGTTTATGATTATGTAAGTCACCTTACAAGTAATTGTAATATAAATACGTTTTAAATCAAAATTCTTCAACATTGCCATAACAGGTGGATTTTGTATAGTATGTTCTCTTTTCTGTTCTCCATTATTTTTAAAGCTTTGGAAAGCTTTATCCAAATGAGCTTTTTTTTCACTAATTTGTTAGTGTGAATTAAGGTGTCAACATGAACTGCTTTGTAAAATTATAGTTATGTGAAAAGAAACTTAAGGAAAGGAGGACTTGAACAGAAATTTTGTATGCGTTCTTTAAGATGGTATTTAATGGGTAAGACCCTTAAATTCACCTTTGTATGACTCTTTCCTTATGTATAATTATTTTATCTGATTGATATCTTCTACAGTTGAAAAGTTTCTATAATATTTCACTATCAGAGAATAAACAAATAACTTTTTGAATGAAAAAAAAAGTAGTAGGGGAGGGGAAAATAGTGCAAAGTGGCGTTTAAGAAATACTTTTTAAATGCTTACTTTTTTTATTTCTCTCTGCTGTGTATTGCATCAGATTGGAATAAATCTGAAGTAGTAAAAATTTCTATTTTGTTCAATAATTGAAATTTGTGTTAAAAATCATTTTCTTGTGGGCTTTGTAGGATGCTTAGTTGTGAGTGTGCAGTTGATGTATTTTGAACCTTGTTTGCAACTGTTCAGTGGCTACTGTACAGTCATACTACTTAAATAGGAATGCTTTTCAATTCTACCCAGAATGAAAGTTGCACCTTCTGAGAAGTGTAAGAAAAGTGTTTTTCAAAACTAACATAAAGTCAGTGACA